ATTGGAAGCTAAACAAGAAAAGCAAAAAGAAAATGGAGGAGGAGGCCAAAGGCCGCCGGAATCCCCTCCCCCACCCCGACTGCAACAGCCCTCAAAAACCCTAGGAGAAGAGAAGTGTAGAGTGAGAAGCTCTCAAACTAGAGAGAGAAAGTGGTCAAAGTATAATAAGAAAGTAAGAAAATTTGTTTGGTTATGAGTTTTGGAAAGAGTTTTCAAAACATAATTCAAACTGTTATAATTCATAACAAAACACACTTCTTTCACACTATCGAAAATTCTGATCAACACTCATAACCAAACTCTTTTTAAAATTCAATTAAAAAAAATTATTATTAACAGAAAATAACATTAATCAATTTTTAAATTGAAAATACTACAAAGGAAATAATTTTTTTTTTGAAAATAAATATTCAAAAAATTTAAATCATAAATATTGAAATAATTTAAATAATCTAAAAAATTTAATAAATAAAAAATTAAAATAAATATTCAAAAAATTTAAATCGTAAAAATTTAAATAATTTAAAATGTTAATATTTTAAATTTAAAAATAACTCTACACTCAAATCGTAACCAAACATATAAAACAAAACTCAATTAAGAAATTATTTTTAAAACTCATAACCAAACACATAACTCGAAACTCCATACTACTTTCACAACTCTATACTCAAATCGTAACCAAATACATAACAAAAAAATTAAGATATTTAAAAATATTTTTATAAAATATTTTAAATTTTAAAAAATTAAAATCGTAATATTTTGAAATTAAAATATTTAAAAAATTAAAAAATTAAAAAAATCGTAAGATATTTAAATATTAAAATATTTAAAACCTTAACAAAATTAAAATATTTTTAAAATATTTAAATATTTAAAATATTTAAAAAATTAAAATATTTATTTGAATTGAGTTTTGAAAAGAGTTTTGAATTATGTGTTTAGTTATGAATTTTGAAAAGTAATGATTATGTTTTGAATTGAGTTTTGAGAAATGGGTGTAGAATTATGATTTGAAAGCTCAAAACAAACAACACACTTAAATCAATGGGTAGAACTATAATTCGAAACTCTAACCAAACGGAGCTTAAGATTCTCAAAAAATTTTACAATTCAACCCATAATAATGAAATATGATAGGTGTTAACTTATGATTATTTTACACATCCAATCATATGGAGCTTAATTCTTTTACCATATCAATGTAGATAAATTCGCAAGTTTAAAAATGTAATTCTCTAACAAAAATTTGGTGGCGTTAAAAATTTTGGTATAAATAACTCTTAAAATAGGGATAGATTTGTATGTTGATTCGATGGTCCTACTTTGTCCCAAATGGTCTATAAGGATCCGCTTCAAACTCAGTAAAATTTGAATTAAATTATAACACAAAATTTACTTTCGTATTTTAGATAATCTCTTTTTTATTTGCACACTCCATCAAACTTTCTAATTTAAAATTCTATTTCATTAAAATATTCTTTTTATTGTGTTCCTTTTTCATTATATTTTATTTGTAATCTGTGTTGACACTGTAATACCGCCCCCGAAAGGTTACGAGCTAGAGCCAACTGACGAGCTAGAGCCAACTGACAAGCTAACCGACATGCGAGGGCCTCAACTTGGAGAGAAGAACACATAGTATTTTTGACCAAACCATCCAACAGCCTACCATTCGAATCCTTAAGAATGACAGTAATTGATACATGATCTAAGCCTTTTTAAATAGCCACATCACAATTTATCTTAAATTTTCCAGCAGCTGGACGTTTCCAATTAGCTTCACGTTGATGGTTGCTTCTAAAACTGTGACTTTGATCAGCCCCATGGGAGTTGTTCCTCGTATCAAATTCTTTTTTTGCCTTCCCTACTCGATGCAACGTGAAGATCAGATCAACTGGATTTTGAGAGAAAACAAAATCATTGTCGTCTTTCCAAACAAACCAACAGATCCAGGCAATTGAGCTGAAGAAGTTATTACACTCCTTGTCATTGAAATACTTCATCATCTTGCAAGACCACTTCAAAATTGAATGAGTCTTTGACCAAGAAACTTTATAACCAAACTCACACCCGAACCACACCGGTCTAACCCAATCACACTCAAATAGAAGGTGCTCTACCGATTCCAGCTGCTTGTTGCAAATAGGACAATAACGAGACTCAGCACATTTCCTGTTGAACAGATTTTCCTTTGTAGCTAGCAAGTTCTCACTTACTCTCCACCAGAAATGACGGATTTTCAGAGGGACATTAGAGACCAAATGAATTTCCAAAAGTTCTTAGGGAGCTGGAAAGATGAAGGCGGTCTGTAAATGAGCTCCTTTTCTTCCTTTTTTAAAGCAACATGATAACCCGACTTCACCAAAAAAGCCCTTAGACTCGAAATGCCAAACCAAAGAATCCTTCATATCCTCTTCCGAAATTGGAATAGTACAAATAGCTTCAACTTTCTTCATCGAAACTATGCTCACTGCTACAAAAACAAATAAAGATCACACTTTTTTTTGTGATATATGTTATTTAATCACACCTTTTAAGCTTTATTAAAGTGTGATCTTTGGAAGTGTGATTAAAATGGGTCATTTTTAATCACACTTTTTAAGTGTGCTTAATAACATTTAGATCACACCTTTTAAGTGTGATTAAAAATATTTAGATCACATCTTTTAAGTGTAATTAATAACATATAAATCACACCTTTTAAGTGTGATTTAAAATATTTAGATCACATATTTTAAGTGTGATTATTAACAATTAGATCACATGTTTTAAGTGTGATTAATAACTAATAAAATCTATGATAAAAAAAGGGTTTGACATATTTGAAAAATAATCAATATTATTTTTGTATGCACATTTAAAAATGTAATACACATTATATACTATACTTTGAATCATAACCACATATTGAATGGAATAACATCATATATTTCATAAATGAAAATTAAATGTTCAAAAGTATATACAAAGGAATTAAATAAAAAAAATTTAACTGTGCTTACATATATTAAAAAATGAAAAAACTTAAAAAACTAAGTTCTTTAATTCTTTGACCATATTTTGCATCTCTGCAAAAAATTTCTGACATGAAAAATGAAAACACAGATTAATTTAGAAACCACAAGAACATATCAATAAACTAACTATTTATAGAGACTATTCTAGTCTTACAAAAGATACAGTCAGACTTTTTCTCATTACACTGACTCTTCATCTCCTACTTCAATAGAAAAAGAATAACAACTTTGATTGAATAATCAATTCTTATGGGAAAAGTGGACCAAATATCTTAAGATAGCTGAATATGAACTATGACTACAGGGCAACAATGATCAAGAGAAGGAACAGGGTTATGCAAAGATTTTTTCCATGCCCTTGAATATAGGAAAACTCACGTGTTAAAAGATTTCAGCAGTTAACTCATCATCAGACATGAACATGCAGAAAACAAATTAATATCCAGAAGAGAGTTGTCATATCCATTTAAAAATTGATAATTATTCCAAGACATGAATATGCAGAAAACAAATTGCTCCATTTCTTAAACCACATAAAACAATCCGTCCCTGCAACAAGAGATGAGTTTTGTTACATTGAAATCATATAGTGATAGTCTGGTAACCATAGACAAAGGTCATGTAATAATAATAGATAAAAAATTATCAAATAAAAAATGTAATGATAATATATAAAAGTACAATAATGCCATTTATAAATCTTGAGATGAGGTCAATATCTACCAAGAAAAAAGTTGTTGACTTGATTATGCAAAGCCTGTTAACTGTTGATGTGCAAATTCTGAATTATATATTGGTGCCACGTGGAACCTAATGGAATTAAGATTTTAGTCAAGTAAGTTTTATGTCAAGTTTTCTAGGTTAATGTGTTGCAAATATTTTAATATAAAGTTTGTGTACTCTCAGAATTCTTAACTAGACAGAACCAAAAACAGAAAAGAGTGATCCACTTAGTAATCCAAAAAAATAAGGAAGCAGATGTGAAAATAGACAATTTAGAAACATTTGTATGGAATCTTAAATGTGGATAATTACCGAATGATCAAGTTGTAGTGACAAAACATTACTTTTACAACAAAACACCCATGATTGCACACCAGTTTCCAGATTTACCAAGGCAGCTCCAAGATCGGTGCCTATACCAGCCAAAAGTAAGAACAAAACAAACAAGAGAAAAACATGAAATATTAGTCATTTAACACAGTCCTGACATTTTCAATAGGGCCACAACCTGTCAATGTTATTAGTACTTGTGAACTAATAAAGCATGCTAATAAAGGTAAAATAAAAACTAGAGTAAAAATAATAATAAATAGATGAAAGTGCAGAGCTCAAACAGGAGTCTTTTAGCCAGGAATGAACACATAAATCTTGGGTAATTCAAACCCACCACCCATGCCAAATGAACTTTGACATGGGTTTCCAGTGCAGGGATAAAAAATTTAATCCTACATGACAAAATTTTCAGAACAGTGTAATTATATAAATCATTTTGTGTTTTATGATTTGTTGCAGGTTCAGAGTATCTAAATATATCCACATACCATAACAATATCTTGGGGATCCACCTGCCAAGAAAACAAATATTCAAATGTCATCTTGTGAGCGACTGCATATTGTGCAATCAACACCAAACGAAAATATATATAAATATGAGAAACATGCAGGAGAAAAGATGGGATGCCCAAACTGCTTTCGCATTGTTACTAATGAAGCCTCATTGTGTGAGATTAACCTCAGACACTCAGATTTATGTGATAACTGTAGGCTTCTCCCTTCTAGTGAAGTCCTTCAGCTTTGATACAAAATAATACCTCAAACAGTGCCTTGGTTCGATGCATTTCCTATAGTGAGAATCGTCTGCATTACTTGACGCAATTTTGCAGATTCTTTTGCCTATAATAACGGGTATGATATTAAGGTGCTGAAAATGATTTCTCACTAGTTCTAACTTCACAAACCCTAAATAAAAGGAAGTACCTCTCTAGCAGCAGCATTAATTGTGTTCAAGTTACATCTTAAGTCATTCACCTAAACAAGTTCGAAGCTATAATATAAGCACAAACGGCTAGAAATAATAATAGCATTTATTCTCAGATATACCTAACTGGAAAAGTAATTCTGAACGCAAATACTCATAATTTGGACTCCACTCGCGAGACATTCATCAAGTCCTGGAAAAATTGAGATGTTCATCAAGCACAAAATTTGTTATCAATACCTATACAGGATTTTTGCACTTCCCTTCCCTCCATCATCAAACCAAAACAAAAACCTGTTCATATTTTCCAAGCATATTGTTGGTCCCATTGTAGTTCTGAAAGAAAGAAAAATCAGTAAGAAACAAATAAAATAGTTAAATATAATTTTGAAATCATCTTAAGGGATAAAAAGAAGGGAGTACACCAGATAAAAGTGTACCACAGCTCAAGAAACCAACTAATGAGTAATTTTGAAGTAAATACAAAACCTTTTCGTTTTTCAACATATGTCTAAGTCAAATACATACTATGACATCAAAATATCACATAATTACAACTCAAACCCAACAAATTGAGAGAGAGAGAGAGAGAGAGAGAGAGGGTATGGAAGTGTACCTTCAGCATTGTCGTTTCTTCTTTTGTAGGACAAAATTTAATGAGATTTTCTACTTGATCAATGTCCAGGGCTAAAGAATCCAAAGCCAGAACAACATTCTGGAAATAAAGCATTAGAACCCCAAAGCATATATAACTGACATGCCATATATACATATATATATATATATATAATTTAAAGCCAAGAGAGTGACCACTGAAAGCATTAGTGCCATCCAAGACATGCCTCTCATAGCAAGCAACAAGACAAAAAAAAACCTTTTAGCCTCAAATTATCCCACCTAACTCATTGATTTAAAAAAAAAAAAAAAGGAAGGAAAAGCAGCAACTGCCTAGCAGCACAACAGCCTACACTGTCACCAACAGTGTAGGCTTCAGACAGTGAAATGACGCTTTTACCCCTATAGATCAATTTTGGAAAAAATAAGGTTATGGGCAAATTTGTCATTTCAACTTTAAATTTCATTTCAAACACACTTTTCAATACAACAATCAACCCAAAAATTTAACCCAACTTCCTAAACACAAAAACTAAAATAGCCTACTAAAATAGCCAAAAAGCTAAAAAGCCTAAAAAAAAGCCATTTCCCAAACACCCACTATATGACCTTTACATGAATAATAATTTGAGACTGCCACTTCCACATAGAATCATTAACAACTATTTGAAACTCCAAACTAGCGTGAATTATCTTTTTGTTTCTTTACCATTATTGCTGCTTGTTTAAATTGAAACAACAAACTATGAATTAATTTGCTAGGTTTGGCTAGAGAAGCGATATGTTGGATCGTGCCACACATCGGAATGGTTAAACACTGCAGGTAGGAATGTTAAAACAGGACTCATTGCTAATGTGATTAAACCTCTGTATAACACCAGCCTCTAGTATAATTTATAGCAACATGATTCTACAATTAGAGAAAACTTTAGTCTTGGCATGGAAAAAACGCAAACATGCACACATGCAGATGCTTGGATATACTTAAACCACTGCACAAATCACATGCATACTCATAACATTGACATCTTTCAAAAGAGGATGGCGGCCTTTTAAAAGTCCAAGTTCCACAGCTGCAAGCCACTGCACATACCACATGCATACCCATAACATTGACAGTTGCACAAGGGATATTTACATTGGCCAAAATCCTAGTATACCACTATCAAACATGTCCATTCCATATCAATAAAACCAGAAGATCATTACACATGGTGATGGTGGCGAGATCAGTATCACACATGCAGACACATAACATTCAAACAATACCAAAATAACTGAAATAGGCATAAAATGAAATTATTTTTCCCAAGAAAATAATTTTTGAAAATATTGGTACTCCTTCAACCCCAAATAACTAAGTAGTCCAATAGTTCTTTTACTTTAATACAAAATTGACACATCAACACTAAAAACAAACTTAGGATTCATAAAATCATTCTTGGAAATAACCAACTTTCAGGAGCTTCCTAAATAAGCTTGGGCCAGCCAAAATGATATTTTTTACTCTTCTTTATTGTGACAGTTTGGAGACTAACTTTCGTGTGGCAGTTTGAAACAAAGCAGTGGTCGCGAAGTCCCATTGTGGTTGTGTTTTGAGCTTATCTTAGCACAGGAAAAAAAAATGTTGCATTAGTTTTGGGTCACTAGTTTTAGTTACCTAAAATTGGCCTATTTGACTTAACATTAACCTTGATATTTTGGAACTAAAAATTATGAAAACAAGATTAAGGGGCAGAAACTAGGTCCTCACTCAAAGCCTGCTTGAAAAGAGATTGAGCAGAGCACTCAGTGGTTTCTAAAAAAAATGTAAAAATTCCAAGAGGCTCCTTCTCGTAGCCTGCTCAAAGAGCGGTCACATGGGTGACAACATTACATGAAAGAGAACAGGGATAGTAGTGTGCTTGAGCTCGGTAACATGCACAAGTTTTTATAATTCATGCAATGTCTTTTCTAAACAAACTATAAATAGACATTAGGCTAAGGGCTCTCAGAAAACTCTGATATATTAATCAGTGAATAGACTTGAATGTTCTAATGATTCAATAGCTTTAAATGATTGTTTTCTTTTGACCAAAGTCCATGGACCAAAAAACATGGTTGAGACCATCGCAAAATCATTAGATCATCAGATTGACAACACAAGCATAATCATAATGTCAATCTTCAGCAAGGAATATCAAATTCAACATCAATTCATTCCACTAAACCACCGGAAAATCATAGGAATCTCAAAATGCAAGCGAAAATCAGCATGTAAGAACCAGAAAACAAGAGCTAGAGAAAGAGAAAGTACCGTGAAAACGTTCTTCGAAGTAGACTTCGACTGAAGCAATCGCGAAGAGGACCTTTTTGTTCAATCCCAAAACGAGCAATCACGGAAGTGAAAACACATTCAATAAGGGTGTGAAAACCCTAGAAATCAAAATCAAAGAGAGATGAGAGAGAAGAATTGGAACACATAAATTCAAGGCTTAGAATCGAATTAATCGAATAGATATGCAAACACAGAATTAATCGAATCCGTGGAAGGGGCTTAGAATCAGAATTGATCTCCAAGCTCGGAATCGGACTCCAAGCTCGGAGTGACAGCCGCTGGTGGTGGTCGGTGGTGGTGCTCGTGCGTTTGTGTGAGACGCCGATGGAGATAGAGAGAGAGAGATGTATGAATGCAAAATTTGTGTGACTTTAATCTCAAATGCAAAGAATGTATGAAGATCTATCAGGGGATTTGAAGGTCTGATTTGTTCTCGAGGGTTTTAGGGGAGGAGTGAAGAAGAGAAAAGGTTGGGTTTTATTGGCGAGTCCGTAATCCGCTTTGAATACAGTGACGAAAACATAACACTGAACCCACCTAGGGGTTGGAAATTGCTAGTTTTTTTTTTTTTTTTTTTTTTTGAAAATATATCAAATTGAAATTTTTTTAGTTGATGTTTTCACGACATGCTAATGTATGTTGTGTAAGGGTATAATATTTTACAACATAAAATGTATGTCGTCTTAAATGAAATTATTTGTACGCCGTGAAAATATATATTTTTTTACGACATACTTTTGTATGTCATAAAAAAATCGAATTAAAATTTTTTTTAGTAAATACTAATGCATGCCGTATAAAGTTAAAATAGTTTAAGACATGAAATATATGTCGTCTTAAGTGTAATTATTTTACGACATATTTTTGTAAGCCGTGAAAATATACATTTCTTTGGCATACTTTTGCATGTCATAAATATATGAATCAACGACTTACATGATGTGTATGCTGTTATTGAAAAAGTATTAGCGACTTGCAAAAAAAAGAAAGGTCATAGAATGTACTAACTACGACATGCATTCGAAGCATGCCGTAAATATAAAACCGTAAACAGTTAGTTTTGTTGTAGTGCCATCTCTCTCTCTCTCTCTCATGTGCCTTGTGATGAGCCCTAGCCTTCTACATTCCTTTTGATTAGAAGTAGCCAAAGAGTTAAATGTATTTTGAATTTTTTTATTTATTTATTTGTGTTTTGGTGTTGGGGCTTTTTTTTTTAAAAAAAAAAAAAGAAAAAAAAAAATTTGGGTGGTTGGGACAACCGAAAAAAAAAAGTAGTG